GAATTGACAAAAATTAAACTGACAATAATTGATTTGATTCCCAATATTCCCTTGATCGGAATTAAGACAATCACAGTGAAAAATTCCCATGAAAATATAGGGGAAGTGGTGCCTGTACCGCTCACCTAAGGAATAACGATAATTTTCGCATTCCCAGTCATGATTTCGAATACAAATTACAGTTGCATTTTCGATCGCAAAGTAGATGAGAGAGCCACCAAGTGAGCTCTAAATTAACTGTTCTTGGGGGCCAACTAAGGAAATCCCTGGGAACGAACAAATGATAGGGGTTAATCAATGAGATCACTGGTTTCTCCGTGATCTCATTGGCTGGCCCCCAAGAGTAGTTAGTTTAGAGACCACTTGATGGCTCTCACATCCACATTGCGATCGCGAATTTCACGATTAGCATTCTTTGGCTGTTCAGTCTTGGATTCTTAATTCTTATTGCAATTCCGATAAATTGTCAAAAAATAAATATAGGAGCTGAATGAGCGCTACTGGCCGCATACAGCTATTACTACGGCTCAGTCTGATTCCTATATCGCTCAGGAGCTAACCTCTAGTCAATAGCTGTCAAAATAACGAAATCACCGATGTTTGATGATTCAATGAAACGAATGGAATTCAGATTTTACTTGATAACTTGAAATGCATAAAAACAAAAGGTAAATATATAGTATCCCTCCCCCCCCTCCGATTTCGTTCAAATTTACAGGGATGGTAGTATTCCCCGAGATTAGATAATCCCTGAAATATTACAAACAAAATGATATTGTGAACATGTTGAAATGGTACTTTAAGAATTTTTTCATATTTTTTTAGAGAATAATAATAGAATAGTACGGCTCTATTTCGTTTGAACATTTTATTCTCTTTCAGAACAAGTTATACGTTTGCATATTTATTCGTTATAACAATCGGAATGAGTCAGCAAACCTCTCCAACAGTGTATACGCTAGCTGCGTATCTCATAAAGAGCACTAGTAACGCCGCCTCAGCGGTGTCTCTTGGTAACTTTCGGGTGTTAATGACTAACTTCATAGCTTTATCTCTTGAATTTTGAATTCAAACTAAACCTTCAAACAGATAAGCAAGTTACATCATCCAAAGTAAAAACGACTGAAAAATGTCCATAATTTGATATGAATTTTGCTTGACTGATTCCATTCAATTCGAGTGTAATTATGACATTCAGTGACAAGTGAAAATTGAAAAAGAAATGTTTTAATCGTTTGTTTTTTCTGCCTATAAAATGTAATTTTCCGCCACGAGTGGTGCAATCGGCGGTAGGCAGCTAGCGTATTGACGGCTTATATATGGAATGTTTCAGTCATTTTTTATTTTTAATTCTTCTTTCACAATGTTCGTCAAAACTTCACGAGGAATAGTACATTATGACATCAGGTGATAATACTTTTATCGCCGTGTGGCATATAATATTTTATGTCATTGGGCCCAAAAACCACGATTCTAACCTAACTTTCGCTTGACCGAGCGAACGGAGGTTAGAATCGCCGTTTTTGGACCTAATGGCATGAAATCAATTTTTCACTGGTTCTTCTCGGATTTGTATCACTTCCTATGAGTTTTTTTGTTCACTAATAAAGTGTCCAATGATTCATGGGAGAGTTCAATACTTTTTACCGTAACGCACGAGATCGGCCGCACGTACTGCGCACGCGCTTTTGCATCTTTCACATAGTGGCGCTTTGGTTTCAGTCTTACGCTTACGTTCATTAGAGATTTTCGAGATATTTCGAGATCGATTTCCTGTCTCCTTTTTACGATAGGAATAGGAATAGGAACAATAGGCAATGAAGGATTTATTTGGTATCGTGAGGAATTATTTATTAATTTGACCTTCATTTTATCACCTCTATTTTGCGGCTAAGTCATTTACTTATATTTTGTTTTTAGATAATGCGAGAGTGGAATAGATGTGTAAGACACTGCGCATTACTATGTTGATACTTATGACGTTGTTGTATACATAAATGTTGACTCGATGTAGGAGGAGGGGGATCTCAATTAAAAACCCGTAAAAGGGAATAATAGTATATTTCAATACGAGTGCGTAAAGTGCTTTTTGACCCCTGGGAGGTGTGTAGCACTCTCCTCCGAAGGGTCAAAGAACACTTTTACCACGAGTGCCGAACCCTATTTTTCATCACAATGTGTGGAAAGTGGTTTTTTTACACTTTACGCACGAGCGATGAAAAAAATGTCATTATTACTATTTCTAAGCTTCAATTTCCAATGAAGCTAGAAGTTGATTTGAAAGTTCATAAGTTGCAGAGATATTGCGACTGGAAAATTGTTCTCCCTTGTCTCCTCAGTTTGCTTAACTGCGTATACTTTGGCTTTCGAATGGAAGCGTTGTAATCGTTCAACTTTAAGTTTCGGATTTTTTGTATTGTATCGACCGATGATGACCCAAAAAATCCGAAAATGCAATTTTTAGACCGTGTCCGTACGTATGTGTTTGTGTATGTATATGTGTGACAAAGGTTTTCTTCAATTGTTCGCTAATGAATCGATAGAATTGAATCAGTTCTGTTTCTCAAATGTAGGTATTGTTGAGCTCTATCCATCGACATTAATTAAAATTTAATTCATTCAATAATTTTTAAAATTTTTGAATTTTTCCAAAAATCGGTTGTTGTGAGATAACTAAAACAAGCAGGGGGCAGCGAGCATGTGACAGTGAACATCTCACTTGTTAATTTTTTTTTATACTTTCTTTCCCATCAATAAATTGATGGTGGACTTCTCCGAATGGTTTTTAGCGTGATAAAATTTGATTTTGCTAAGAATTTAAAGAAAACCTATGCCACCATAAAATCCGTGCGTGAAACAAGCACTTTGTGGGCACTAAACGGTTCCGGAAAGTGAACTTTTCAGGCAGGTATCACAAAAAATTGTTTTTTAATTGAAATCATTTGGGTAGTTTTCGAGATATTTTCAAAAAAAGGTTCATGAACAACAATTTCATCAAAACAACTGAGTCGATTGTGCTGAAATCAAGCTTTAGTCCTGATTAATACCTATAATCTGACAAACTCGAGATCTTTTCTGAATTTTTCTACGCCTTCAAACCTTTGATTCGTTAAACGTTGAACATCAGCTGGACACCCGTATAGACACACATAATCTTAGGAAGTGGTTTTTTTTTCAATTCCGTACCATTCTACATTATTTGCAAGCTTAACAAATTGATCTGTTGATTTTTGAAAAACTGAGCGCGTAGAAGGATTTTCAGCGCCAACCCGAAAAATTGAAATATCACAAAAACTTCCTGTCTCGGAGTATATATCTTTTGAGGATTGAGATAGGAGATTAAATCGGTATTGAGATATTAAAGAATTTAAGCTTACATATACAATTGAATATCTCTGTAACTAATTATCCGATTTAACCCACATTGTATACGAACCATTGTAATTATCAGAAGCACACCTCCGTGCTAAATTTCCAGTTGATATTTCGATTTTTATGCCTGCTAGGGACCGAACAACGATTTCGAGGTAAAAATAGGAAAATCGATATATCTCGAAAACTTTGTGTGAACGGGTATATATATTTTGATTGATTAACATCGAGGACATCAAGACGAGCATTAAAAAAAAATATTCCAATCGGTTGGATATTTTCCGAGATGTTTGGGAAAAAGCGTAAAAAACAAATGGCTATTTCTCAAAAACTAATGGACGGATTCAGCTGAACTTTGGCGTAGAGTTAGTCCCAAATTATACCAATAAACTGACAAAATTTCAAATTATTTGGGTCTTTAAACTTCGTATTTTTCCGTTTCAGACCATTCTGCATCGTTTCCAAGCAAAATTAGCGAGTCGAAAAATCGATCTAATGCAATGCTTTCATTCGGAAGCAAAAAATGTTCTGAATTCATTGAATGATGGTTAAAAAAAATTGCTTGGATGCCCTTTTGACCGAGTTCGAAGATGAAGGCGATAGCAATAATCGTTGTTTTATTTTATATACATATTTTCAAAATTTTTGTATCCTTTAAAAATCGGAATTCCGAGGATATCTTGAGATATCATGTTTCAAATGAATTCAATTATAACTTAAAATGTTAGTTTCAATGCCACACTGCCGAAGTTAAACGATACTTAAGATAGCTATATCAGTTGATTTTATTTTTAAGACGATTTGTGCAAATTTCGAATTTTCGACCTAAACGTTGCTTATGTAGACGAAAAACCTGTGGAAGGCAGAGCCGATAAAAAAGCCAATTTCAATAACTAGTAAACCGCTGAACGAAAATATAAACACTGAAACGTGAACAGGAAGCTCCTGAAGGAAACATCACGTAGTTAGGACGAGAAGGTCAGCCCGTGAAGCAACAAAGGGGTCAGGGAAGTGATACGACCATCCAAAGAAGACAATCCATTGTATAAAAGAAAGAGATAATGAGAATAATGGCAATGATAATATTCAGCTAAGTTAAAAATGTGACAGAATTGTTTGAAAATAATTCTCACTCCATTTAATAACATTGAATAGACAATGAATTATATACCATAGAAGAAAATGATGTGCAAAATTACCATTCGGAAGCATATTGCCATAATCATATTTTTGCTTATTAGGAAAAATAACTATGCCATATGAAGAGAAGAACAATTTTCCACTTGTTTCATTTTTTACGATATGAAAAAAACCCAGAGAATATCTCTGAAGAATATGACGTGATATTCATAAAAATATTTTACAATTTGCAGAAGGTGTTATCAATTGAACTTCAAGGCCAGAAATTTATTTTTCAAATCCAATAAAGGCTCACTTCTTATCTCCATTCCAACACTTCTGTTCTTCCCCACGCACATTACATCAATAACATAAATGATAATACGTGACAGCGATAATGGGAGACGTGAGGTGAAGCAGGTATAAAACCACTTCATTCTTTAATTCTTCTCTTTATTCTGGGAAAAAATAAATTAGATTAGGGTACAATAAATTACGACACATCCTACTTTGGTATTTCCCATTCATTTATTTATTTATCACGTATAAAAAGACATTTTCTTGCATAATCTTCAAAAACGGCGACATATCTAATAAGAATTGATCTATCTGTCGCTAAAGAACACAATCAACGAATAAAATGAAAGTGTGAATGAGAAAACAGCTGTTGCATTGAATGCCCGATTTTACGCAATAGGAATACTTGCTTTTCCGTTAATAACTCTGGAAGGAGTGGTGGCAGAGGACTAAAGCCGGTGTCATTAGGAAGCCAGACAAATTTCCGATCTACATACTCATCTACAGAGAAAACCCTTTAGCACCGTAATTTCCTCGAACATCGAGACTTTCCGATTTTACTCACCAAAATTTCTTTCACGATATTCTCAGGAACTAATCGACGCAGAGGGGTTCATGACCACCTCTCGGAATCGGAAATTTCCTCGAATGTTCGATAGTATATTTTTCGTTCTACTGGTGCCTCTCCATTCCCTTCAAAATCACCTTTTTTTCATAATCGTTAAATATCCGAAAATCGTTCGACCCCATTCCACCCGACAAACTCCAATCTTATCCCTCAATAATTCCACCATTAAATAATAAATAAAATAAAAACGAAAAATTCCATTATTGGAGAAAATCTAGGAAAAAATTAATTCTGGATTGAGACAATAAATTACAACGCACTCTACTTTCGTATTTCTCATTTATTTATTGATTTCTCACGTATAAAAAAGAAATTTTCTTGTATAATCTCCACAAACGGTCACATCTCTGATGAGAATTGATCCATCTGTCGATAAAAATCACAATCAACGAATGAAATAAAAATGTGAATGAGAAAACAACTGTTTCATTGAATGCTCGACCTTACGCAATAAGAATTTTTGGTTTTCCGTTAATAACTCTGGAAGGAGTGGTCGCAAAGGGCTAAAGCCGGTGTCATTGGGAAACCAGGCAAATTTCTGATCCATTCCTGTACAGAGAAAACCCTTTAGCGCCGTTATTTCCTCGAACATCGAGACATTTCGATTTTGCCCTCAACAATTTCTTTAACGATATTCACAGGAACTAATTGACGTAGAGGGGTTTATAATCACCTCTCAGAATCGGAAATTTCCTCGGATGTTCGATAGTATATTTTTTGTTCCCCTGGCACCTCTCCATCCTCCGCAAAATCACTTTTTTCCGTAATCGTCAAATATCCGAAAATCATTCGACCCCATTCTACTCAATAAACTCCAATCCTATCACATTCGCTCAATCACTCACCCATCCCTTCACTATCTACACCTTTACTGTCTATTTTATACAAAAATCATCCACAATGGATGACGCAACTAGATTCATCATCACTATATTATGCATGACGCACTGCTTTTCTGCATAAAACATTTCATTTTCATTAATTTTAAACTGTTTTTCCCCATCTCCGGAAATGAGATAATGAACCAGGAATGCATTCAGACAGGTATCGTACAATTATCATCATTTGTAAATTATCATCAAACGATTTGTCGTTGAATAATTGCAAAAAATGCCATTTTCATTGTTCAGTTTTTGATTGATTACCAACAAGTTCAGGGTAAAGTTGAACTCATCTATTCAAGTTGAACGGTACGTGTGCGTAAAGTACGTGAACACTTTGGGCTCGCAGTCTTGTCGCCTCATTTATGGCCGGTCTGACCTCGTATGAACGGTAACCACTCACTAGGCTGGCAGCTCTCGTCGATCTTGTCACACCCATTTGACTGAATCGATTTGAATTCGTTGGACGAACTGAGTTGTAGGATCGAGAGTTGTTTGACAGATTTCGATGGACTCGGGGGAGCCCATGAGAACTGCCTGACAGTGGGTCTCACCTGGAAATTAGTTTTAGTTTATTTGTTAACTTGGTTGATTTGTTAATGTTCAGATCCGATTTTTCATCATTTTTTGCTTTGTAGAAGTGAGAAATTGTTAAAACAAGTGGGAATTTGCTTTCGTTACAACATAGTCAATATTTTTTTGCTAATAAATTAGTTATTTGTTTCCGAATGGAATTTCTCTGACGCTGTATGTTAAAATAAATTCAACATTGTCCCAACGTTGATAGCCAACATTGCTTCAACGCTGGCAGCCAACATTTCCCCACCGTTGGGAGTGAACATTGCCTCAACGTTGGCAAGCAATATTATCTTAACCTCGACAGCCACCATTGTACCAAGGTTGTAATTTTTTACCTTCCCCTGAATATCGGTTTCAAAATAATTGTTTGCAACAGCAATCTCATGATCGAAGTCGATCAAGATGGCGTTGGAAAGAATATTTTGAATCACAATTGTATTCATTTAAGCAATTATTTTTTCAGTTATCGTCGGAAAACTATCGGTCACATACACACATACATCAGGACATTAATCCAAAAATGGCATATTCGAACTTCTAAGGCCAAAATTAGTGATCTTGGCCAAAACAAGGACATTTCCGATTTGGTGAATGCAATGTTTCCATTCGGAGACAAAAATGGCTAAGTGTATGAAAAAACAAGACAAATCATTTGAGAATTCCAAAAATTGTTCACCCCCTTTCAGATTTTTATAAAAGCTGTTGTGAAAAAATCTGGTTAATACCTGGCATAAGGTGGTGGTGGTGTAGGTGCGGCTGGTTGATCGGAGGCAAGACCGCTTCCTGGAACGCTAGCCACCCCATTGAGAGTTGCGTTGACACCACTGTTGCCCGGTGGTATCAGTTGTCCTGGATTTAACTTGATAGCATCGTCGTAACTCGGCGGCGCGTCAGCAACAGCCTCGTAGTCCGGTGGCTTCTGTCTCGCACCAACTGCCGATTCGTCCATCGATATCACGTGTATCGGATCATCGATCTGAAGGAAAATAAAGTCATGTACAAATTAACACCAATCTCTTTTCATCGTCGCCGCCGGGTAAAAATTAATTATTTCTCAAAGAAACGAAGTTTTTAGAACCAAAGGGCGATTCTTGTAACCTTTTATTTTTCGACATTTTCATCTTTCTTAACCTTTACACCGCACTATCGTTCTGTGGGATTGTTATCAAAACTTTTAGAGTGTATAACTACTGATAAATGTAAGGAAAACTTTCAAATTTTCAGTAGCTTCCTATTTTATCGGTTCCAATCAATACAAAACGTTTTCCATTTTTTTCGCCTGGACAAATTCAGGAAAGCACCAATAGTTTTTCTAATTTATTCACTGAGGGAATTGATTAAAAAAAAATTAGCACCAATTATTCATAATGAATGCCATATTTTTGCTAGTTCGATAATCGAGGATAAGCAGGCGAGAATTGTATGAAAAAATAACTAAGCTACCGGGAATCACAGAAATTCACTCAATGTTCATAACAAATATTTATTTGGGAAGAAAAAAAAACAAGTTGAGAATAAGCCGCCAGAGGGGTAAGTAATCGATCAATGACGATGTGTGACTTTTTAGAAAAAAAGATTTTTGGATGAATTGCTCTATACCAGGATGTATTGAATTGATCGAGACAAAATTTTACATACAAGTGCGACTAATACTCTTTAGTAGCCAGAATCTCAGAAGTTTATTACAAGTTTTGTGCGTATTATGGAACGCCACATTAACTCCCAATTGAAAAATTAGAAAAACGCGAATATTTCGAAAATTTTGTATGAACGGGTATTCATTTTTTAATTGATTTTGACAGGAGGTGACAAGACGAATAGATTTGTCACCTCCTGTCAAATTCCAACATCCTTTCTAAATTTTTTCGGAAGTTATCGTGCACAGAACGATTTTTCCATAAAAATGTAAAATACCGATTATTATATAGCAATATTGTGATTTGATTTGATAGATATTATCACAAGGAATATTTTGACGTAAAAAAAAACAAATCCGTCACGTAGTTTTCCAGATATTGAGAAAAAAGCTTTTTGAGAAATTGCTGCATCTCCAAAACTACTTGACCGATTGAGCTGAAATTGCACGCAGAAGTGCCCCAAAGTAATACCAATTATGTAATGAAATTTCAGATTTTTAGCTTCAACCTTAGTTCTTCTGCGAAGATTTATACAAATGTTTCGAAAAATTCACACACACATCCGGACATACATACACACATTTCCTAAAAATATCATATCTTCACATTTCATGACATTCTACGACATTTTCAATGAAAATTAGAAGATCGTCAAAATCGACGACTACACGGAGAGAAATATTCAATAAAAATTACCAGAAAAAAGACGTAAAAATTACGTTTCACTGAAAACGATTCTCGCTTGCCGATTACCTGAAATGTTCCGTAATTTTTCTTGAATATTTGTCTCCGTGTACACAGCTTTCATTCGGAAACAAAATTATGAGAAACTTTCAGAAATTTTTTGTTTAGACAACCAATGTTAAATTCTACTTCGCGAATGAGAACTAGGACTCGACGTATTCCACATATTGTAAGGGTGCATTAAAAGTAACCACAGAGAGACAAAAAAAGAACAGGTATAGAACTGGCTGAAGATAATAATAGAATTCGCGTGCGCACTTTAGGGTTAATATCCTCATTCACCACCTCTCCCCCCCCCCCNCCCCCCCCCCCCCCAACCCTTGTGAGTACACCCACCGTAAGTAAAAAAAGCGCACGACCCCCTTTCACCATAATTTCATCCATAAAGGGTCTGGAGACAGTTATAAATAAGTTGAGTCAATGAGAATTTACGTGACAGGTTGAAATAAAATTAGATTATTTAGAAATAGTTGACGCGAGACAGTTCAACAGGATATGGTGTTATTTTCAGGTACGAAAGAAAATTCGAAAGAAGGGTTTTTTTCTCAAAATAGAAAAAAAATTGATGAAATCTATTCGGACTTTTTTCGTCATAATTGTTTCGATTTGATCCGAATGATGAAAATTAAATAGTGATTTGGAAATAGAATAAGACGATGATTCGGAAATAGTTGATGGAGACGGATAATGTTGGAAAATAGTTCAACAGGATATGATGGTATTTTCAGTTGTGAAAGTAAACAAGGTTATTTTTCTAAAAATAGAAAAAAGGATTATTGGAATCTATTTGGACTCATTTTTTGTGATAATTATTTTGTTATGGTCCGAGTGATGATAATAAAATGATTATTCGGAAATAACTGATAGAAACGGATAAGAAAGGCAAATATAGTTCAATAGGATATAGTGGTATTTTCGGATGTGAAAATAAACAAGGTTATTTTTCTAAAAATAGAAAAAAGGATTATTGGAATCTATTTAGACGAATTTTTCTATCCTAATTGTTTTGTTATGATTCAAACGAGGAAAATATTTTTTGTTGTTTTCGAAATATTACACTTCCATAGATGATTTGTTTAACCCTTGTGGGATTGTGGGTTTTTTATTGACATTAGATGAAATTATCAATTTCGATTGATATAGGTGTTTTCAATTTTGAGTTACATTTGACTGTTGTTATCCGTTGGACCCTTGAGGCCCTTACGGGTCTTATGAGTCTTATAAGATTGTTAGAAGGGTCAGGCGAAATTTTTAATATCCATTTCTGATGGAGCGATTTCATTCAATTGGTTGGACCTTTGTGCAAGGGTCAGGCAAGTTACACCTTATTTAACTTACCTGACCCTTCATACCCTTATGATCTCGGAGATCTTCATAATGGTCAGGTCAAGTTCTTAACATTTATCTCTGGTAAATGAGTTGTATTCAATTCATTCGATAACTATATTCCGTCTGACCCTTGTAACCCTTTTGAAATTCTATGGTGGTGAGACAAAATCATTACTAAATTATGTTTGAGAAATTTTGGACCCTTGCGTGAGGGTCAGGTAATTATTGCACGGAAAAAAATATACTTCCATAAAGTATATTTTATACTCGAATCAAGTATATTACATACTTGATTCAGGAATATTATTCTTAATTCGAGTATAAAATATACTTAAGTATATTATTCTTGATTCCAGTATATTTTATACACAATTGGGGGATGAGTATTTTGGTTGGGAGATGATTGTTTTGTAATAGGCTGGGTTATAGCAAGCCCTTTTAAGTGTAATATAAGGGTTAGGCACTAAGTGTCAGAATATTAGGGTCAAACACCGAGGAAAAAAGTGGATTAGCTTTAGGAAAAAGTTTCTAAGGCCTGGTTGCACCAGCTCCGGGTAACGAAAACGTCAGATAAGAAAAAAATAAATTTGGATGTTCGATGGATTATTTTACCCGGGAGAGTATCTCAAATTTATCCCAGGAACAAAAAATGAAATTTAATCCCAAGGTTAAATCAGTGTTAATTCAAATGAGGCTACATGATGATATATAAAAAATTCTTCTTCGGGTCAAATAATTAAAAATTATGACCGCTACGATATAATTGACCCCGAGGATAAATTTTACCCTAGGGTTTATTTGGATAACAGGGCTTGGTGCAATCGGGCCTAAATTTTAGAAACCATGGTTTGTAACCTTCAGTTTTCTATAGTTGAGAAACTTTTTTGTAATTTTTATAAAAAAGTCATTTAAAATTGATGATCAAAATGGGGATTAATTTTAAACCAAGATATACTTAATTTTAGAAAAAATATTTTCTAAAATCTAGAAAATTTTTGTAATTTTTGAGGAGGGATTTTGGAAAGACGAGGAAGAGAGGTTGTGAATTAAGAATTTACAACCAAAAAAATTGAGTCGGTGAATTTTTCAAAAATATCTCTGAAACTAAGGACGAATTTTTACTGAAAATTGGGGGGGGGGGGAGGAAAGTTTTATTGAATTCTCGATGTACAACCCTTCTCCCCCCAATTTTCCCCTTAGTTTCGGAAATATCTTTGAAAAAGTCACCGACTCAATTTTTTTGGTTGTAAATTCTCAATGCCCCCCCCCCCCCTGCCACCCCAATTTTCAGGAAAAAATTCGTTAAATTCCCCTCCCCCTCTTTGCAAAGACTCTCCTCCACACACCTGAAATTCTCGATATTCGGGCACCTCTCGCTATGTATGGGGCACTTACGCCCTTTAAATACCTCGGCCGCAATTTTTTAGTTCAATCTGAAAACTTGTTGCTACAATTAAGAAAAATTCAACGTTGGTTTTAGAAAATATTTGTTCTTGAAAACAATCCCCAAATTCGTTATTTTTTATGTTCCCACCAAGGATAAAGTTTAAGAATTGGAGTTTCTAAAATCTACTAAAAATCCCCCCCCCCACAATTTCAGTAAAAATTCGCTATTTCCGTTAATTTCGGAAATATTTTTAAGAAGCTCAGGCTCAATTTTTTTGATTGTGAATTCTCAATGTATCTCCCGCCCCTCCCACTCCCAAGTTTCCAGTAAAAATTCGCCATCTCCCTTAGTTTTGGAGATATTTTTGAAAAACTCACCGACTCAATTTTTTTGGTTGTGAATTCTCAATTCATGGCCCCCCCTTCCCCTTTTTGCAAAATGCCTCTCAAAGATTGAAGAAATTTTCTGGATTTTAGAAAATATTTTTTCTAAAATTAAGTATTTTTCGGTTTAAAATTCATCCCAATTTTGATCATTAATTTTGAACGATTTTTTTCTAGAACTTAGAAAAAAGTTTTTAGATTTTAGAAAACTGAAGGATAGAAACCACGGTTTTAAAAATTTAGAAACTTTTTTTTAAAGCTAATCCACTGTTTTCCGCTGTTTGAAAAAAATTCCAGAATTTTTCAGGAGAAATTCAGGCAAAAATTACCGTGCCGTCTGGTAAAGTGGGTTCAATTGTCTAGCACCAGAAAAATTCCGGCGCTGCATAGTAAAAATTCCGGTATCGCACAATAAAAGCTTGATCCCTGACTGTGTTCTATTACATGATAAATTACATTCAATAGTTAAAAATGAATAAACATTGTTATTCAGCATGTTATCCTATCAATTTTATTTTAACCTCTCCTCCATATCCTCTCTCCCATATTAAAATGGAATGGGCGGCAAACGTGTGTGGAACGTTTGACAGGCCAATGTATCTCTACAGCGTTATACACCCCATGAAGAGAAATTAAAGGGCACTTATTCTATTTCTTAACCGCTTTATCACAACACTAATTAATATTTCACTGAAATGATATTATGAAAAACATTAACCTGGTGTTTCAGTAAGGAGATATGTGAGAGAGGAGGCTAGAGGAGGCGACGGAATAAATCATCTGGTCACGTTGAGTCGATGTTCGTGGTTGCGGAGGGGGGACGAAGAGTNTCGAAGGGTGCCGAAATCGTACGAATGCGCGATCGGATCCTAGGAGTCTGGTAGAGCACGGGAAAAATTTGCCAGCCAGTGTCATAATTTTTCTCATATTTCTCGTAAAAATTCATGTGCAACAGTACTTTTTTCTACTCTTTGCGGTACATTTCGCCTGGAAAGACCATCTGGACCCACTTTACTATGCGAGCATGGTAATTTTTCTCGTACATTTTTCTCCGTGCATCCCCCAATTGAGTATAAAATATATTGGAATCAAGAATAACATACTTGAATCAAGTATATAATACACTCGAATTAAGTCTATAATATACTTGATTCAAGTATATTTTATACTCAATTCAAGTTTTTTTTCCGTGTACCGTTTATTTTAGATAAATCAACTTTTCATTTTTATTTTCGCCCGACGCTTGATTAATTCGCCTAACCCTCATGATCCTTCCAGATCTCCTTTGGGTTACAAGACTCTGACTCGTATAACCCTGATGCAAGGATTAAACAGATTGGACAAATTTTTTAGTATCCGTCTTTAATAGATTAATTTCTTTTAATGCGTTCGCCCTGATGATCCTCACACATGACCCTTACGACCCTATCATAAGGATTGAATTTAAATCTTTCACGAGTCTAACATTGTTAGACTCATGAAAGCTTCTCAAAAATCATAAGGGTCGGGTTGATCACATAAGGGTTAAAAAGGTCAGACACATTTTCTACCATTTTTCCTGGATCATTTCATGTTTTCCACCTATTCGACCCTTACCATATCCGCCTGATCCTTATGACTCTCATGACATCAGGGTTAATCAAAATCATTACTTATTATGTTCAATGTCAAATTCAGGAAGGTACTATGCAACTTCAATTATACCCATTCCCGGACAGGAAGTCATTAGAACAATGAATTCAATGAGTTCAAAATTCTCCGAAATCCTACAAGTCTGAATGGATAACTAATTTATAGCGAGAACCCAACGATTCGAGCAGTCATAAGGGCTATGTATAAATAAAAATGGAAAATTGCTACATCAAACAAAATAAAATACCAAATTTTGTCTGACCCTTATGATCCTTCAAGGATTACCAGAGCCGAGTATAACGTTAAAAAATGTCAGACCAATTTTTCAAAATTTTTCTTTGATAGTTTCATTTTATTTCACCTGTTCGACCATTACCATATCCACCTAACCCTTATGGCCCTCGTGATTTAAGGGTCTGACAAAATCATTACTTATTATGTGCAATGTCAAATTCAGGAACGTGCTATGCAGCTTCAATTAGATTAATTCCCGGACAGAAAGTCATTGGAATAATTAATTCAACAACCATTTTTTGAGTAATCGCCCAAAAATCGTTTTTCAAAAACATCTCAAGAACGTCCCAACGCATCAAGTTACAACTGGGGTTGATCAGTCTACAGCATCAATTTAGATACGAAATTTCACAAAATTCTACGAGTCTGAATGAGTAAATAATTTATACCGTGAAAGATTGAGATATTTTTGCACTGCCCTCCCATGAATTTCGATCTGTCCCTCCACTGCAAAAGCACATTCTCGTAAAAGACGATCAATAAATTTCTCTTAGTCGAGGGCAAAGAGTGAACAAACTATTAATACCCCATGTGTGTTTTATTCAACTTCCATTCTCCATACTACCTGTCGGGTATAGTATCCGTTTATAAACCGTCCATTTATAGAGCCCATGAGTACTATGCCTCATAAACGACAAAATCCAATTCTAGGGACTTGTGAGAGCGATGTCGATGCTCTGAGCTATCTTATGAACCATACCAGGTATTTTTAGGTACACCACAGCTAAATTTAACTTGAATATCGCATAGATAATGTTAACGACAAAAATGTAAGAGTCGAATGAGAAAATCACATTTTTTACGCATTTATGTTCGTGCGAATAATTCTGCGGATTTTTCTTTGGAGATTTTTTATTGTTTTTTTTTGTGGGGTAGGGCTATTTAATTTCACCATTATTTTTTCGAGATACTTACTGTTTAGAAACAAAATGTTTTTCTCAAAAGGGAAATATAATTTTGCTTTCTGACAATTTTTTTTTGTAAAAAAAATGTACTCCCAAATTTTTTTCTGTGCTTTCCATGTTTTTTTTCAGGAATTTTTTTTTTCATAAAAAAAAAGTTTGTTCTCCAACGAGAGAAAAATTTTTTTTTTCAAGAGAAAAACAAAATTTTTGTTTTCCAAGAGAGAAAAACAAGTTTTTTTTCCAAGAGAGAAAATACTTTTTTTTTTCAAGGAAGAATACAAACTTTTTCTTTAACATAAAACACTGTTTTTTTAATATTTTTTTTTACCTGTACTGTATGTGGATGTCCCCCATGTTGTGACTGTACATTAGTCCTAGTTGGTGGTGCATGTAGCCAACAGCACATTGCAGCGCATATTAAAAGTGCACCAGCAACTATACACGCAACACCGACGTATCTAACTGGTTCAACGTAATTTTCAGCAAGTCCCAGCCAGTTTATCAATGCACCAATACATAATAACACCATACCATAGCGATACGGTCTCTGTGAACGTCGTGACTCCTCGAGGGACATTTCTGCAACAAAAAATCATATTTATGGTTATTGGAAAATTGTGTGTTGCGGTTTGATGGATCACTCAATTTTTCATGGTGGCCTAGATGTCTAAACGATGGCGGCAGTGGAAAAATTAATGCACAGAAATTTTTTCCCTCTTAGAGAATGATAAATTGGGCCGTGAGAAATTTTGGGGCATTTGGGATAATGACTAAGAGATATCGCGATTCATTTTAATTTGTGTTCGATCCTCATGGCCCTCATGCGAGCAAGCGAAAATTATTTATTCTTTTTAGTTGATCTCAAGATTTTGACTCGTGATCCTTGTGATCCTCATGAGATTTCCTTGAGAGTCAAACAGATTTTTGACTATTGATCAGAGATCAATCGATTTGGAGATACTTATAAGCGTTAAACACACTGAGAGAAAAATCTGAAGTTCGATTTACAATAAGAAAATAGTTGAGGCATTTTGGTGAACGATACGATTTTTTTTGTATACGGCACATAACATTATAGTAACTTCACAAGCGTAATTTTTGCAAATCAAAATGCAGTTAAACTAACCCAAGTTCAAAAGTAACCCGAGTGGAAATTCTGTTCAGGTCTCGATTAGAAACTGATCAAGTCCGATCCGAAATTATGATCAGGCATGTTACGCCTCTGCCTTATGTTTTTCCACTAGGGTTTCTCCGCCTTCCATCATTAGGCATTAATTAAATTTAATTTTTTGAGAGAAATAATCAGTAACTTTCTAGCCGGGAATCGAAACCGGAACCCGTTTTTCCACTGGGGTTTCTCCGCCTTCCATCATTAGGCATTAATTAAATTTAATTTTTTGAGAGAAAAAATCAGTAACTTCCTAGCCGGGAATCGAACCCGGGACCTCCCAATGTCGCGTCGGGTGCTCTTACCATCGGAGCTACCAGGACACTTACGAATTTCACTCTCAAATTGACTCATACCCAAGTGGAAATTCTGTTCAGGTCTCGATCAGAAACTGATCAAGTCCGATCCGAAATTCTGATCAGGCATGTTACGCCTCTGCCTTATGTTTTTCCACTAGGGAACCACGACAAATCTATCGTGAGGAGAACTATAAAATAGTTGCAATGACTACATTTCATTGTAGTAATTACTTCTCCGGCCATAGTTACCGTAACCCATGAAAAATTGTTGAGGACTTTTTGACTATAATTCGATGGTAATGGAATATAGTCAGAAGAATTATATTTTTCTCTCAGTGCAGAATTATGGCTATCTATGTTCGATAAATTGACTCATCAAAGGTCAAAACTAGTTTTGACCTTTACATTTATTTTTAGCCCTTACATGGTAAACTTTTTTACCCGTTTGACTCTTATTGAATTGTCATGGAGGTTAAGTAAAGTTATTAAAATTCTTTTTCGATTCAGTACATTTTTGTTTTTGTTTACGTTTAAACTTCATGAAATCCACCGGACTCTCATGACTCTCATGAAATCATTTCCAGGGCCAAACAAAATTTTTATCATTCACCTTTAATAATTCAATTTTGTTGATTTTGTTTGATCCCTATGACTCGTTTGAACCTTATGACCTTTATGAGTCATCATAAAGATCAGATACGAATAATCATGCCTGATAAATCCGTCCTTGAAATTAATTTTTGACCCCTAGATGATCTCTCAACCTTGAGACCCTTATTAGGTTGTCACAAAAGTTATTTAAAATTATCATTATTTTTTTCCATTCAGCATTTTTTCATTTTGATTCATGCTTGAGACTTATGCAATCCGCCTGCCGGTTATGAGCCTCATGGAATCTTTCCACGGGTTAGATTAAGTTTTTAACACTCAGCATTGATAATTTGTTATTTTTTAGTTAATACTGTTGTGTTTGTCTGACCCGTATTCATCCGTTTAACCCTTATGGCCTCTCATAAGGAACACAAGGGTCAGACAGAACTAAATAAGTCTGATAAATCCACTCATACACTCGTTTTACTTTCGACCCTTACGTGACCATTCTGATCCTCATGCAATTTCCATAAAGCTCAACGGGAATCTTTTCCCATACACGGAGAGACATATTCAGTAAAAATTACGGAACTCATAGTTCACTCAACGATTACGGAATCGACTCTGAAAATTTAAATGACGCACGGTATCGTAATTTGTCACAGGAGATTTAGGTAAAAATTACCCGAGTCAAAATTTTACCGGGTCTCCCGACGTAGTTTCAACGTTTTGAACCTACATTGCTTTGATGTTCAAATTCTCCGCCGCATTTTTACCGTACTTTCAACTTATCTCAACGTGAAGGCCCATGGACGTTGAAAAACACTCAATATCCACCGTATGTTAAACGTACTCTCAACGTTAATGATGTTTGTTTTCTGTTAACGTATATTGTAAGTTTCGACGTCCACATTTCATTGTATCAAGGTCATTATTGACGATAATTAAAAAATTCATTACCGTGTTAAAGACTCACGTAACTAAATTATTAGTGTCAGTACATTAATAACATTAGTTCGAAGTTCAAACAATCGTGCGTCTGAAGGGTAAGGTGGATCCAAGGGTCAGAAGGGTTAGTTGAGTATAAGGATCAATTGAGTATAAGGGTCAGATGAGTATAAGGGTGAGTTGAGCCAAAAGATTACGCGAATCTAAGGGTCAGATAAGTGAAAGCCTCAGTTGAGATTGAATGTCAGTTGAGTTTAAAGGTAAGTTGAGCCTAATGGTCAAAATAATACGAAGGGTCAGGCGAATCCAAGGGTCTGTTTTGTAAGGGTCGGAGGATTAAAAACCTCAGTTGAGTTCAACTGTCAGTTGAATTTAAGGGCCAGTTGTGTGTAAGGATCAGTTGAGTGTATGAGTCAGATGAGTGCCAAGACCCTATTGGGCCTGAGAGTCAGATGAGTCTAAGACAAGAATAAGGGTCAAATGAGTCTGAGGGTCAGATCGATTCTGAGGGTCAGGTGAGCCAAAGGTCATCTAACTTTTAGATTCGCCTGACCCTTCGTACTCTTTTGACCCTTAGACTCAACTGACTCGTAGATTCGCGTGATCCTTCACACTCAACTGACCCTTAAATCCGCCTGACCCTTTGTAGTTGTTTGACCCTTAGACTCAACTCAACCCATGGACCGATCCGTTTTTTTCTTTTTTTCCCATTTTTGTTTCATCGAGTTAATAATATTTATATTTTTGCCATTCTTTCACCGATTAATTTATGCAAGATTTAATCAATTAATCGATGTTAGAATGGAAGTGGTAGTGTGAAGAGGCTAGGGGGGACGAAGGAAGGAAAGAATGTACGGTGGAGGAACGTTGGGGATACGTTTAGTTTCAACCTAATTTCAACGTACAATCTGGAAAAAATGGAAAAAAGAGACGGTATTTACGTCGAAAGTAGGTTGAATCGGTGCATTTGAGCCTGTACACTGGACAACGTACTTTCAACGTCCTAAACCCATCAGTGGACCTTGAAACATCGTTGGGAGATCCGGTAAAATTTCGACTCGGGTACGTGACAGTTCTGTAAAATTTCCTACAACCACATTTCGCTTCGGAATTACGAAAAAGATACGTAATTTTTATTGAATATTTCTCTCCGCGTAACCATCTATAATTCTAGAATATCCACCTGACCCTTCTCACCTTCATGTTGTCTTTTTCAGGGTCCCATCAAATTTTTACCATTCAACTTCCATAATTAAATTTTTGAGTTTGTTCAATCCTTCTGATATCCTTCCACAATTGTGGAAAATATCTATAATTCAAGAATGTTACATTGTGAAGCGATAGCAAATGACTCAAATGCTTTCATGAACCGCACCGTCATCGATTATCATGACGTTCCATTAGTAAAGATGAAGGTGAATCGGAGGTCACACGACATCATTGTACGTTTGTGGAACGTCCAGATAAAGAATTTGATTGAGCGCCCAAAAAAAGCCAATGATTGCCGCACCCATTCTCTCATTTTTTCTTTTCAAACACATTCGAGTTTCTATTTTCGTCGAGTCATTACTATATCCACCCCTAACATTTAGCCTATATTTGTGACGCAGGAGACACCAAAGGGGCGGGTGAGTTCTAGGTGTTCCAGTTTAACGGCTAGTAATAATGGTAATACGTATCACGAAAGTCGGTTGAATTTTATCGATGACTGGACAATAGGACATTATGGCAACTGAATTTATTATAAGGATATGACTTTTAGTGCCATCACGGTAAGGGGATAGGTCATAGTCAAACCCGAAATGGGGGTAGAATTCACGAAGGTCTTCGTGGTTTTCGAAGAATTAGGATTTGGGTTTTTCCGATGTAACTGATTGTTCAGTATTGTAACATGACCTTTTCAATTCTTATGACCCTTATTGAATTAACATGAAGGCTAGGGAAAATCATCATTTCCCTCGTTAATTAAGCATGTTATTTTATTTTGATTTACGTTTGAACCTTGTGCAATCTACTGACCCTTGTGTCCCTAGTGGCATTCTTTCCTTATGAGGCGCCATAAGGATCAAAGAACTAATGATGTGTGACCTAGATAGGAATTATATAGGCTGACGATGGAAACAAGCCTGTGCGAGCCTAGGTTTGGCGAGGGTCAGTAACGCAGGCCTGCGACGGGCTTGATTTCATCGTTCACTCGAGCCTGAAATGAGGGCGATTCAAGGGGCCATTGCCGAGGTTCAATTCAGGCCTAGCCCAGGCTTTGAGTATTGAGGCTCAGTACGTCAAGGCTTATTCGAGCCTCTGCAAGGCCTCAAAAACGAAAGTTAGTTTCGATTATATTCCTCAATTTTTATATCGATTAACGTTTCTGATGCTAATAAAACACTCGGAGGCGCCAGAAATTTCGAAATTTTTTTCACCTGGGGCCAAAGTGTCACCTTGGATTTTTCAGGGGAAAGTCGACTGTCGGCCAAATCGAATTTTTCCGTCGAGTGAACGTTGATTCTGTATTTTCTGGCCCGCCTAATGCCACTGAGACCCTCACTTGCCCCAGAAATGCAGAAATAAAAGAA